GTGTGGAAATAAGAACCACAAGAAAGGGAAATCTGAGTAAAACGTCAAGAAAATCAAGACGAAGGTTGTCCATGCAAAAATACACTGTCGCTTCTTAAAGCACTGAACTATTATATCTGGAATCAGAATAATGACAATATGAAGATAATAAAACAGAAGTCTTTTAAACCGTGTGTGTGCATGGCTTTGTGCATGTTTTAAATGTTAAAAATATCCCCAAAACCTACCTGACACCAATTTTCTTCAGCAGATCCTTATTAAAAAGCCAAATTGAAAGACGGAAAGACAGAGAGAAAGAAGCACTCTTAGCTGAAACACGTTCCTATACCACCACCACCCCCCCACTTAAAACAATAAAATCTGTTTCTGAAAGCAAAGGCAAGGGAAAAGTAGATGTATATGTTGCCTATAAATTCTGTTCAAAATCTGAAGAACAATGTATTTTTCATGTTCTACCTGAGGCATACAATTTGAAAAGCACACGATAAACATAAGCACGCCACTGGGCAAATGAAACAAAAATTCTAAATGCTGGGCAACCACTAAGATTTGCTAATCTAACTCAAGTGTCTCAGGCAAATTAATAGCCAGATATTTTAAATTAAATTTAAATATGTAGCAGTTGACTACTCAGAAAATAGATACTACCCTCTCAAATAATGGATATATTTTCCAGTCGTGGATATGGGGAATGGAAAACAATCACAACACATCTGCCGACAAGGAAATGAGGAGCAGTTGGTTTATTTCAAATGTTAAAAGATTAGTGTTGTCCAATTTCTCTGTCAAGGAGTTTCTGCTGTGCAGCTGAAAAAAACCTATACTTAAATTAAAAAAGAAAACAGAAAATGGTTCTAGTTTTTCTATAGCTAGGTAAATTACCTTTCTGTGGCATACAGTACATATAATATATTCTGAGCAACTGAAATGTTTAGACAAGCCTAAAAGAATCAAGGCTGGTTTGGCATATTTATTTTTACAAATATTTTAGTTTCCGATCCAAAAGGAAATTGTACTGCTTCAAAACAATCAAGTGATATCCTGAGACTACAATAAACCACAACCTAGCACTGACATTTCACCTTGAAAAGGTTCCTGAACAGGTTCAACAGCATTTGAAAAACAATTTATCCATACAGCTAGCAGAGGGCTTATTCCTATGAATCCAAAAGTCAGAGGATAGAATATTAACTACTGCAGAAAAGAAAACATAGTGCAGGACCTTCTGTTTGTGACAAAATTACAGAGTTAATGTTCCTGAAAGATCACTTCACCTCTTAAAGCATGATTTTTAAAAAGGTAAAATTTATAGCAATTAAAGCTAATGAAGAAATGCAGCATGAGCTGCTTATGTTCAGGAACTAATAGGTCCACTGAGCATTTCTAAGATTATTTAGCCATCAATGATAATGAATTGACATTGTCAGTGGTGTTAATGTACCAATGCTCTATAGTGCCACTAATCCGATAGCCAATCCTAGCAATTTTTTTATGTTGCTACTTTATTTTTTAACCTACGTACTCTTCTATCCTTTCAATTAATACGGCAGAAATACAGCACAAGCTATTATACTTTTTTTCCCCCTTCTTCCACATTAAGGATGGCATATTCATTATTTGGTCTACAGTTCAACTGCATTGGTCATTCCTTATTCTTCGAATCCATTTTAATTCTTCAGGATTGTTAGCTTCAGTGTAAAGATGTCTTTTCCAATTAAACCAATGTTAATATATAACTGTTAAAATACATTTTGGTGCATATCAAGTGAAATGTGATGATTATTTAAACTGCAAAAGGACTAAACTGCACTATAAACCAGATTTTTGTGCGCAGAGCATGGTGGTGGTGGAGGATGTCTCTTTGGCTGGTTGTTTTATTATATACAAAATACACCGATCTATGTTGTAAATGAAGATTAGTGGCATAACTCTATACAACAATATAAATATATAGCTATTTGGCTACCAGTATGACATTTCAACAGCATGTAGTAAACAATTAGCCTAGCAAAGTGACTAATAGACTTAATTCCATAGCTTAAGTCATACAAATATGTTTTGTTCTTGATAGTTATATGTTTTCTGTTGCAAGTTCTAAGAATATTTTAGTACCATGCCAATACTAAATAGGACTGAGCTTTTGATATCAGAAAATGTGCCAAATTCTCCTCACAATTAATTTCTTCTCTGTAGGGGATATGAACTTAATGATTTGGTGATTACAAAAGCTATTTCTCGGTTGATATGATAATTAAATAATACGCTAACTTTTCAATGCGAGTCAATGGGATGTTGAATTGTGAAGTAATAGACAAGTTTGTTGACAACTTTAAAGCAAAGTCTAAGCTTTGTTCTCTTTGTTTTTGGTGCACCTGTATTTGTTAATTATCCTTCACACAAAAGATTCTGTAATTTATAGGGTAAAAACTGTTAACAGGATTTTTAAAATGCCTAAAAAGACGTCTATTAAAAAGATGTCCCATGTTGCACTTGAATCTTGTAGCTAATATAAGAAGTAACAAAAGTCATCATACTACTGATCTTATGTGAACTTAAGGACAAACTTCACATAAATTTACTTCATATTTAAATAACTCAACCATCAATTACCCCAACTGAATAAAATCACCCAAAGTATCTAATAACATTCCTTGCAAAATTATTTGTAAAATAGATAGATAAATCAGTGAAAATCACTCAGCTGCATTTTCAGCTGAAGATTCACTTGTCCTTTGAAATGTGAAACTCACTTTGTCCTGCAATAAATATGTATTGCAAATGATAACTACAAGAACCTCCTGCTGAATAATATCCCTAACATCCCACCATACCATTCATGTGTGCAATGCATTATCTAATTGAACCTGTGCTATTTTACACATTAGCCATAAGACCTCTACAGCAGGTGACACAGGTTTGCATAAAGTGTTTTTATATGATGCATATATTAGTTAATTCTCTCACATAATAACATTAAAATATATTTTTAATCAGAAGTAGGGTATTAAAATCCAACTCTGAATATCCTATGATGTACCATATATGCCATGGCATTTTAAAACCTTTTAAACATTTCTGCTAAATTAATTAGTTTTGCATTAAGGAGTCTCAATGCCTCCTATTAAATGCAACACATTTGAAGGACAATTAAACATTATGAATGATCCTTCTGAAGAAATAACCATTAAGTAAGAAAGAAAAACAGGATTTTTTTGTAACAAACAAGAACACAAACATCTATTAAATACTTCAATTTTTTAAAAACATAGTATGCATGTAATATTTTATATCCAGTTGTCTGAAAGCCCGTCTTCCGTTTTGTTTTCCTAAGGAATGAAATACCTAATAGAGCCCACAGATCTGTTAATGGAACTAAAATTATAACAGTACAGGGTGTGGGGGGGAAACGGGACACACCACATACACACAGAGTAAAGTCTGTATTATATATTTTTTATGTCTTTAAATGGAATTTACAGTTCTCCCTGGCAATGTGAATGAACATCCTATAATTTAGTCAATTTACAGATTACAGGTTCAAATTGACCTTGTAGCCCGTAAAATTGCTCATCTTCAATGCAGGATTAGAAGTGGGAAAAGAATGTCATAACTGTATTTAAGGAATTTACCATAACAATGGAAAGGAGGATATGCATGCATAATTTTAGCCACTCTTGCTCACATCACAGTTTTGAATTCTGAAACAATGCATATCCTGCACTCTTCTCCTGGTTAACCATCGTAGAAACTGTTTCAATTTACTCACCCACAGACATGACACTTGTATTCCCTCATCCCAAGGTGCCTCTTGACATGGTTTCTGGCATCTCCGAGCTGAGCTGTTGCAAAGTGGCATATCTTGCACTTGAATGGCTTTGATCCTAAGTAAAATTTAGCATAAGATACGAGTTGAATTAGAATAATATATTACTCATGGTTAAAGAAATAAAAATTCCTTGGAAAAAATAACCTTTAAAAAATATATCCCACATTTACCGTTTAAGAATTTTGTCTCACAAAAGAAGTTATTACATACACTTATCACTTCAGGGATACAGATATGTACCATAGATTTCCCATTAAAGAGAATTTCCTTAAATTCACTGACAATCCTTAAGCTCACTGAAACTACTTTCATACTGAACTTTTAATAACCATTTACTTTTTATAAAGAGTATTAAAATCAGAAGACAATATACTAGGACGATACCATTTAAATGAGGTGATCAAAGTTTTTCTACACCTTTCCCCATTTTCAAAATAGCTAAGTCAATTAATGGCCATAAAAAGTTTGGATGAAAGATGTAAACTTAAAAATATCCTTGTTCTTAAAGTAAATATGCATGATAAGTTCATTTAATTTTACTATATTCCTCTGACTTTGAATAGATTTCACAGTAACATTGGTATTTCAAGTTTCTTCTGTCATGCCTAGAGAATGATTCATCACCTTGCTATTGTAATGACATGCAATGTATGACTATACAGTGGGTAAAATATTATGCCTTTATGACTGCTTTATGGTCAAGAATTTATGCTTCTGCAAACCAGAAGTATTGACATTTTGCTTATTATTTATTTTAAGAACAAACTTTATTATTAAATGGCCAGTGAAAACCAAAGAATTATTTTTAAAAAATGTCTAATGAAGTAGGAATAACCTATTCTGTTTGAACATATCAGGCCAGGAAAAAGTCTGTACAGAAATAATGTATCTTGATTAACACTGACTCCCCAGTCAAGATGAGAAAGTTGCATTACAACTGCGGTATAATGGTTAAATGTGGCAGATGTCCATTCGTAGGTTACTAAGCAATGACACTTTATTTTAAAGTATGCTGTAACACTTTCCAATTTTCTAACTAGTAAATCCTTAAAATCAATAAATCAAAATCACAGAATTGCATTTAAAATTAAGTACAACATGTTCAGAGATTCTTCAAATTATGTTTAGTATGTTTTGTGAAGTATGTCTTCCAATAGCGTTAAGCATAAAATGAAATATGTGATCTTTAATAAATACACATAAAGACTCTGATAAGAAAAATGTTATAGTATATCATACTTGATCAATGAACCTTTGTGCTGTGTCCTTGAAAATAGAATATCCTCCAAGAATACTTTGTTGAAATTGAGGATCTTAGTAAAAAATTTTAGAGTCTTAAATTTCAATTTAATTCCCAAAAGCTGACAAAAAATGAAGCATTTAATTTTAATCTTCTAGCAGAAATAAAAAAGTCAACAGTACTAAGCACGGGCAGACAAGGTTGAATATTTCACAGTTCAATGACAATGAAGCAAGATCTCTTAATACTTCCATTTCTACTGTTAGAAGATGTAAAAAATATTTAGCACCTGAATGGTTATATCTAGTCAGCTTTATATGTTTAAATGTCAAAAGCAGGTTGAGACTGCAGCTAACAGCAATCACATTCTATCAATCACACTGAAAAACCCCAGTTTATTTAAATGATCCTGATAAAACTAAATTAAACATTAATTTGGTGACATTCCAAATCAACACTGTATTCTATAAAGGGACCCATGCAAATAAAATAGGTTTGAATAGTGTCAATATACCTTCACATTAAATAAAAAACGTTAAAGTTGATGTTCTAACTTATGAGCTTCAAAACTAATTACACAATTAATAATATCAAGGCTATAGCCAGATATGATAAAAAAAAAAACCCTCTACCAGTAGTTATATTGCCATTTTATTTCACAGAATTCAAATATCCTGTGGATTCAACCCTATTTTTTTTGGTTTCTCTCTCTCTCAGATTAAATTGTAAATTTGTTCCTCTTTCTGTTACTGCAGGTATCCCACAGGGCTCTGTATAAGACCTTTGCTGTTTTCAATTTACATGACTCCTTTGTGAAAAACTATAGTTCAGTCTGGTCTTAGTGTTCATTGCTACACTGTGCTGACAATACATAAATGTATTTTTCTGTTGACTGCTCTCAACCAAAAATCACTGAGGCCTTGACAATTTTTTTCTCACATACACAGCTGAATGTCTGTTAACATCTCCATTTAAACACCATGAAAATTCAAGTACTGGAAGGTTACAGCCAGTACTTATTGTCTGAAACAAAAACAGTAAAGGTCCTTTTAACTTGTTGGCACCAAATTTGGTCCAAAACCTCTTCTGGGTAGAACAAATCTATACATATATATTTTATACCTAACATATAAACTTTAGATTCATAAAGTCAAATCAATGGGGCAAAACTCTGCATTTTCTGAACGAGTACTTAAAACAATATTTTTCCCAAACTAGATTTTTCTTGGCCATATTTTTATTCTCAGTACTTTCTTTGTTCTGTGGCTTTACACTTGGTTCTTAATTAATTTCAAAACAGTCGTAGTACCTTCATTTACAGCACCTTTCCAACGAAAGAGCTTTAATAAATATAGGGATCATATCACTCACAACCTGTGGTGTGGAAACAGAGCAGCCATCATGTGATAGCAACATCATTCTTTAAAAGGGAAATGAAAAAAAAATAGAAACTACAGAAAATGTAGAAGGCAGAATATAATGATTTGTGGTGCAATCTCACCAGACCACTGGAGTTAATAAACTTAATTCTGGTAAAAGGCATCATGGGTCTCCAGTGACAAGAAATATTCAAAGCCTCAGTTTTAAGCCTCCAACAATGTCATTTTCAGTGCCAAAGTATTCACTAGCACCATGCAATAACAGAGAGTGAGGAGTATCACCTACTGAGTTATCAACACCATACTTTCTGCCGTCCTTGGGCTTTTGTGCGTGTGTGCCATCCCTTATTTAGCTTGAGAAATCTGATGAAATCCCAAACATCTGCACGCAGTATTCAAGGTGTGAGCATACCATGGATTTATATAGAGGCAATATGATATTTTCTTATTATCTATGCCTTTCTTAATGATGCCCAACATTCTGTTCACTTTTTTGACTGCCACTGCACACTGAGTGGATTATTTCAGAGAACTATCCACAATGACTCCAAGATCTCTTTCTTGAGTGGTAACAGCTAATTTAGGGTACGTCTATACTGTGACAGACCCAGACCAGTGGGGTACAGGAGTCTGGGAGAAGGCAAATATACTGGTCACTGGATGAGTAGTTTTCTGTTCCCTGAGTGACCAGAGCAGGGGCTGCACTAGATTAATCAGGAACCTGCTAGAACCAGTTAAGGCAGGCAGGCTAATTAGGACACCTGAAGCCAATTAAGAAGAAGCTTCTAGAAAGGCAGGCTAATCAGGGCACCTGGGTTTTAAAAAGGAGCTCACTTCAGTTTGTGGTAGGAGTGTGAGAAGCTGGGAGCAAGAGGCGCAAGGAGCTGAGAGTGAAAGGGAAAGGGTGTGCTGCTGGAGGACTGAGGAGCACAAGCGTTATCAGACACCAGGAGGAAGGTCCTGTGATGAGAATAAGGAAGGTGTTTGGAGGAGGCCATCGGGAAGTAGCCCAGGGAGTTGTAGCTGTCATGCAGCTGTTACAGGAGGCACTATAGACAGCTGCAGTCCACAGGGCCCTGGGCTGGAACCCGGAGTAGAGGGCAGGCCTGGGTTCCCCCCAAACCTCCCAATTGACCTGGACTGTGGGTTTTCCCAGAGGGGAAGGTCTCTGGGCTGTTCCCCAATCCACATGGTGAATCTCTGAGGCAAGAAAATCTGCCAAAAAGCGCAGGACCCACCAAGATAGAGGAGGAACTTTGTCACAGTACTTACCCGTTGGTTCGGCAGCAAGCAATCAATCTTCTGGGATCGATTTATCGCGTGTTGTCTTGACGCGATAAATCGATCCCGGAAGTGCTCGCCGTCGACGCCGGTAATCTTGCTCCATGAGAGGAGTAGGCGGAGTCGACGGGGGAGCCTGCCTGCCGCGTGTGGACCCGCGGTAAGTACCTTTAAGTTCGAACTAAGATCCTTCGTTATTCACGTAGCTGAAGTTGCGTATCTTAGTTCGAACTGGGGGCTTAGTGTGGACCAGCCCTTAGACCCCATCATTGTATATGTATAGTTAGGATTATGTTTTCCAATGTGCATTACTTAACATTTATCAACATTAAATTTCATCTGCCATTTTGTTGCCCAGTCACCCACTTTTGTGAGATCCTCTTGTAGCTCTTCACAGTCCACCTGGGACTTAACTATCTTGAGTAGTTTTGTATCATCTGCAAATTTTGCCACCTCACTGTTTACCCCTTTTTCCAGATAGTTTATGAATATGTTAAATAGGACTGGGCCCAGTACAGTACACCACTATTTACCTCTCTCCATTCTGAAAACTGACCATTTATTCCTACCCTTTGTTTCCTATCTTTTAACCAGTTACCAATCCATGAGAGAACCTTCCCTCTTAGTCCATGACTGCTTATTTTGCTTAAGAGCCTTTGGTGAGGGACCTTGTCAAAAGCTTTCTGAAAATCTAAATACACTATATCCACTGGATCTCCTTTGTCTGCATGCTTGTTGGCCCCCTCAAAGATGACAGGGCTGCAGGCGATTTTACCTCAGAAATTCTGATTGTTAATTAAGATTATAGGACCTCCTTGAATTGTAAGTAAAAAAGTCTTCCACCTTTACTATTCCTTTTGTTTTATTTTACACTTCCTCATTTTCACTTGTCAATATGTGATGGACTTGCTTGTTATCTCCTCTCTGGCATAACATCCCTTCTCATTTGCTATGTGAAAATCTCTTGGAATTAATTTAAGGCATTTTGAAAACACTCTGTATTCTACTATTTGGAATCATTAGTAATATTTTTCCATCCTCCAAAAAAAAGCTACTAATGATTCCAAATAGTATAAAATAGAGGGTTTTCAATATTGTGTGTGAGGGGGAGGAGAGTGTTCCTGAAGTAAGATTTAGCAAGAAGAGGAATAAGAAATAGGAAAACTCATCTCGTACGATACAGCTGGTGTTACAGTAGTGCAGGTGAGATAGGGAAACATATTGTACTTGTTTGTCCTGCTAGGTTTAACCAAGACAGAATATGCAGTATAGTACGGTAGGTTTCTTCCTCCTGCCACCATTCTTGCTTACCAAAAACCATTTATTTCTTATCAATTGCTTTCATTGTGATAAAATTGGGAAGAAGAGGTTATATAAAACATACAGTAAATCACAAATATGAAAACAGGGTTTGGAAGGGTAAGCTCTCTTCCAGTTAACTATTAATAAAAGTCCCAGCATTATTATTTCATTTGCATAAGCAAAGTATCAGAAAAGCAATTCATTTTAAGGTGCTGAGAAAA